GAACCCATCCCGGGGTTAACCACGCTGCTTCCAGCACAAATCCAGAACACAGCCCCGTACCAGCTGCTGTGCAGAAAATTAACTCTACCCCAGCCAACCCCAGCATAAACTCAGTGAATTATTTTCCCCTTGCTTATGTTTTAATGAATTGGAGCAAAATGTTTGCTAAGGAGCTCGGAATACACAACAGGCGGCGATGCCCGGTGATGCTTAATCCTGCACAGCATTGTGCAGCAGCATTATTTTTAACAAAGGATTATTTTTTTGTGCGTGTGGTGTGAAGCTGTGTCTCTCGCTCCCTGGATTTTCAGATGAGCCCTGGCTGGGGGCTGCTGGGCCCAGCGGCTCTTTGCTGGATGGGAGGATGGAGGCGCCGCGCTGCCACCAGCACGGACGGGGGGCGGGTGGCAATGGGACATGGGTTTCGTATCTCAGGGTTACAGGGAGAAGGTGCCTGCAGTGGTTTGCAGGTGCAAATTGGCTTTTCCAGGGGTTCCCAGCAGCTTACTGGGAAATGACGCCAGCCTGACTGGGCGTGAGGATTTTTCCCTGCTGACAAATTTCCCCCGGAGCAGCGATACCGGTGACGAGTGTCACCGGTTGCTCTGCTCCACGGGTGACATGGTCATGGTGTAGGAATCCCTGGAATGAGTTCCCAGCCCTGCAGGTTGGTCAGACCTCTCCTAGAGCGACCTTTCGGGGGGGAAAGCTTTCGAGTTATTTCTCGTTTAGTTGATGCCTTACAGAAAAAGGCTGCTTAGAGCTCAGTCTGGGAATGGCACCGTGTGCCGTTTGCTGCCGTCTTGCAGCACAAGCCGTGTTTCACCCTGCGCTTGCATCTTGTCTGGGCACCTCGGAAACACCGCTGTGCAGCGTTTGTTTCTGTAAGAGTGTGGTGGGCAGAGACCTGCTGGATGAGACAAGGAAAAACACTGAACTTCCTGCAATGCTCGGTTTAAAACAGCCTACACATAGCGAGCGGAATAATTACGAACTGCCGTGGGTTTGAAGTCCTATTCACCTGTTCTACTGGCTCTGCCTTACAAATGAACGCTGTAATTTCTCTTTAGTCGGTGAGGTAGCTTAAAGAAATAGAGCTCGCGTGCTAAATGAAAGCTTCTGCGTATCTGGCAGCGCATCCAGATGCCATCTGGAATGTAGAACCCTGCTGGGATTTCTTTCTTCTCTCGGCACCGAGGGCTGCAGTTGGAGTTTAGTTGACAATTTATCTGCCTTCGAGTTGAATTGTTCTTGCTCTGGTAGCTGTGTCTTCTCCGCGGGACTTAAAAACTTGTTTGTCAGCAAAGCACACGGGGAGTAAATAAGCTGCTATTTTTGTAGTCGCTACTGACTGCGTCCACTAAAATGCCATTTGAAAATGAATGTTGCTGCTGAGCTGGTTTGGTCTCACAAAAGCAAGTTTCTTCTGAAACTGGCAGGCAGGAGAAGGCAATGACTCTGCGAATCGCGATGGGATTGCAATTCCAGGGAGAGGCTGCTGCTTTCCAGCCGCACGGCCTCGACCTGACGGGCTGTAGCTTGGATTTAATCCAAGGTTTACTTCAGCGTGGGTGGTGGAGGGCAGCGGGGGGGGAAATGAAGCCTTGTAAAAGCTGTCCATTAGTCTGGAGGGTATAAAGTATTAGAGCCCATTAGCAGGAGGCCTCCATCTGCCCCTCCTGCTAATGCTCACGATAAGGCTGTTTGCAATAAAACCACCGGTAGAAGCTGTTGGAGCGCATGGGGTGTTCATGGCTTTCCTTGCCTGGCCGTTGTTTTCCAGAGGGCACGCGGCATTTTGCTAGGCACGTCTTCTCCATCCTTCTTCTTGCAACCACTGGGTGTATTGCTTCCCTCAAAAAAAACCCCAAAATCCAACAAAACCCCTGCCTGTAGAAATGTTCTGCTGGGGGTATCCAGCTCCGGCAGGCTGGCCTCGACGCCGTGAAGCGGCTGGAGGGAGGGAAGTCTTTCTCAGCTCAGTTTAGTGGTTCAAGGCACAAACCCAGTTTGCGCTACCCTGCCAGCTGGAAAACGAAGCTGTTGAAGATAAATTCCTGCTCTCTTTGTCCCAGGTAAAGTCTGGACACCTCTGGACAGTGCTGTCTTAAGCTAAATTTAAAAGCCTGGCTTTAGGGAAGGTAGCTGCCACAAAGAATAACTGATAGAGCAGAGCTAAGAAAGGTCCTGCTTGGAAAAGAGAGCTTTGATGTGGAATGGGACTGCAGAGCTTTGTGTACTTGGAGCAGCTGGAGCAGCTCTTCCTACCCCACTGCTCCTTGCCCCATGGGAAACACCGGGTAGGTCCTTCCCCGTGACCGAGAGACGAGGCACCTCTCCAGAAACAGAAAGTAGCCCCCCAGAGCAGCCCTTCTGCATGCAAAGAGCAGCCTTTGGCTGCGAGTGGTTGGGATATGGTCCTGGGTCTCTCGCAGGGGCTTTGTGCTGAGAAGAAACAAAGACCCAGCGGGGGCATTTGGATTCAGCGCCTTCTCCCCTTCTTGTGCACCAGGCTCTGGTCCTAGGCTTGTTGTTTCAGGTTGCTGAGCCAATTTAGGCCGGATCTGAGGTTAAGCAAGACTCCTGGTGAAGAAGAAGCAGGAGCAGGTTAAAAAGATTTCACTTCCAGAGCTGGGGAGATGTTACGCTGGCACCTTTCCATGCCTCCTCCCATGCCGGCTGGTGGGAGCTATGGCAACGAGCTGCGTACATGGGTTTGGAGTTCTCGGGGTGGATGTGGGAGTGCTGGGTTGCCGTGCCTGGTAAATGTGTTACTCAGATTGGTGATAAAAGGCTGTTAAACATCTGCTTGCAATCTGGGTGTCTGGGCTCCAACGTACCAGCCCGGTAGGATCCACTGAGCAGCACCCACCAGCGCTCCCCGCCGTGGCGTTCCCTGGCACCATCTATCAAATCACAAGTGGTTTACAACCAGACATAAAGAATATGAAGCAATCAGGGGTTTTGCTTAGCAACTCCTGCTTGTTTGAGGTGATTACTGGTCCCTGGGCTCGAGTTGGGAAAGCCGAGAGGG